TGTCCACATATTGAGCTAAAATCAGTTAAAATCAATCAAGCTAAAATAATGGCGATGTTGCGAGGTCTGTGAGGGCAACAGACAAATGTCCCTCGTTGTTACATCACAAGGGCGACCCGTTATGTGAAAAGCCACCTATAACATGGCTGTATCGCATTTGCTGTTGGCCGCCAGAACAGTGGCGAGGTGAAACTTTTTTACTCGCAGCGAAATAGTTTGACAGAATAGTTTGAAAGAAGTTGAAGTTTATACAGCTAGAAACTTGGCCTAACACTTCGGGTCTGTCGAGAAGTACTTCAGACTATTGGGCAGAGTTTGAGAGGTGTTCACTCATGTTTCTGGTAGTATATACTTCGATTTTGTTCAACCGTTTTGGCAAACTTTTATTCCCCTTCAATATTCAGGAGGCCAACAGCTTGATACGACCATATAATGGGTCGCCGTTCTGAGGTGACTATCCAGAAAATATTTATCCATGTGTCTTTCAGAGTTGTCTTCGTATTGGCAGAATTTCACCTCATTGCGGATCAACTTCGGTGCGCGAAATGAAAACTCCTGGGAAAAAGAATGATGAAGCCATCCTTGAGTCGTCCGTCGTCTAGAGGGTAGATGGAATGGTGAAATATATCATGCTTTATTTGAGGGTTAATATAAACGATAGTTCTGGCTCATCCTTCCTAGTTTTTAGCAGGAACCTTTTTCAATTAGATCGGTCAGCTTCAAAGGCACGTATAGGTTTCTCAGCTCCAGATTAACGTTCTACGAAGGCACTTGAAATATTGCACTAAAAACCTGGATATGTATCTATAACAGGATGGATTCACTTCGTTGCGGTCGGACTTGACAGCTTTCAGAAGCTCAAATGAACTGTTGGCAAATATTGAAAGTGCAGCGATGAGATATTTCGGTGTAAAGTATTCTAAATGTTTTCATTCGTCGAAAAGGAAAGCATGTAATGGTTTGAATATCGGTCTTCTTTATACATTCTTCATTGGGTCACTCTGACGCTCTTCTTTTTTGAAGTTAATGGCGGGGCGCTAATTAGCATATTCTGCCATCAACGAGGAGTGCCTTATATTTTGAAGCAGTCAGTAAGAGTTATGTGGCAAGCATGGTGCGTAGTAGTATGATATTTCCTGTTCACAGAGTAGTACCAATTTATCAACCATGAAAGGAAGAAAGGCGAGTGGAGGGACCGCGACTGAAACCCGGGGCTGCTCGGTTCTGAATCCGACACTACCAAGTGAGC